GGGACGGCTAGCGCAGATAGGCCTCGTGTAGCTTTGCGCGAAATTCCAAAACAAACAAACAAACTTTCTTTTGGACACCCTGTACAATACTGCATTCCGATGCTTACGGATGCACGACTAAGGCCACATTTGATGGAAGAGCATAAGCATGTTTTTCAACAACTAGAACATACTCATACATATATACGTATATAACTTTCAAACATGAATTTTCTATGATGAATGGGAAACGGAAAATAAATTCTTCAGTTGACATTACTGGTGTTTCTAAGAATAACCAAAAAAATATATCATTTTTTTTCATGCAAGGTTGTATATATATACATATATCTAAATGAACAAAACAAGCCAAAAGAAAAAACAAAATAAAAGATGCTGCATAAGTTAAAAGGATCCACAGGATACAGGATAATGTGTGGTATAAAATGTACATTGGATTTGCTGTTTTTAACGCAGTCTTTCCTTTTTATTTTATATTGCTTGACTACTTAAGTATTAATGTTCTATACACATGTATGTATACATACAAATTAAACCAAACATTTTAAGTTCAATCATGCTGTACACCATCGTCTATCCACCTGCGTTGTTGAGACCCAACATGAGTCGAAAGTGAAGTCTTCAGTTTATCAGAATACTCCAGCATGAGTATATGTGTTTCATACTTAGTAGGGCAAATTTATTCCCTGTGGTTTAGCTCAAGTATCTGGGTCAAAATTCATGTATAACACGTTTGGAATACATTTATAGCTGACAGTTAGACATTTCAAGTTCAAAGAGTACAGTTGGGCGTGTGTGGACCTACATCAGTTGTAACCCAACCGTAAACGGCATCTGATGTTCATTTGGATAATATTCACCCACATTGACTTAAATGGGCTGTTTAGGGCTGGCATAGTTCGAAATTACAGTTTGCAAACTGATTAAGATATCTAACATAAGCAAATACGTTAGAGGGATAGTTTTGTCAAGCCCGTAGCCAGAGGGGGGTTATAAGGGTGCGAACGAACCCTCTACTCCCGCCGGAGTTCCGCTCGTCTATTAACATTTCCCTCCTTTCTTTGATGATGACCTCTCATTATATAATTGCTTTTGTAGCACTGTGCACACGTGTGGATATAGCATTTTCATATTTCTCAGAGAAATTTACTGGAAATATTTATTTGCAGTGATAATAAAGGAACCATTACATATTTCGGAATTTGTTTTTCATCCCTGGGCACTAAAGTTACACATGAAACGAGTTCCATATTGGACCACACACACACACACTTCCAGACTTGACTATAGGCTTGGCTTTGTCTCTTCTAATTGCTAGAGGTATAAGAAATAAACTAGATGACTTTAGACTACTGGTAGGAATGGAGAATTTTGATATAATGGGAATAACTGAAACAAGGTTAAACGTAAATGATTTTGATGACAAGGTTACAGGTTATTTACTAGGGACAGAGTAGTAAAGAGAAGTGGTCTTATATGTAAAATGTGAATTACATCCTGTTGGCTCACAAAGAATACAAAATATAAAATTAAAGAAAAACGTTATAAGTTTAAGAAATTTAAATTGACTGGTACGACGGGAGATTTAGAAGATTACATAAGATCAAGAAAGTTAGTTAAACAGGAAGTTAGTACATCAAAAAGGATGTGTGAGAAAAGGTTGGTTCAAAATATGAAAATTAAAGTAAGGCTTTCTTTAAATACATTAAAGGGTAAACAAAATGTTATGATGGGGATAGGACCCTTGAGGGATGATAAAGTAAGGTTCATATCTGATGATTATGTGAGGGCTAGGTTATTAAATTCTGCCTTTTCTTCAGTTTTTACCGATGAAGATTTAAGTAGTATTCCTCATCTTGAACAACTGTTAGATGGTTTGTTTGTTTGTTTGTTTTGAATTTCGCGCAAAGCTACACGAGGGCTATCTGCGCTAGCCGTCCCTAATTTAGAAGTGTAAGACTAGGAAGATTTAACGATACTGTGTACTGTCAAAAGAGACACAAGATTTAACGATACTGTGTACTGTCAATAAGAAGAC